CAAATTAGCGTTATGAATATATCCATGTTTCGATACTCAGCATGAGATCGCTCGGGGAGCGGAGGGGGGGGGGGAGGGGAGGGAGAGGTTGAAGGGGCGAAAAACTATATGTGTTGAGAGTATTTCATGGCGTAACACTGAGGATCGACCATGAATGTAATCCAAACTGATGCCTAAATAATAGCAAAATAATTGGACCCCACTGGGATTTCTAAATTGTGAGCATGAGAAATATGAGAATGCGTGAAATTAATCCTAAATTGGGAATCTCTTTATCAGTACGTAGTCTACGTGCGGGATTTCGTCAGGTCAACGCTTTCACTTCTGATGGCCGTCTGCACACGGTTTGTCCACTGTATCAGGATTCTTTCTTATACATGACTTTGTCAAGTCAATTTCTTTTAGCCCTAAGTAATCTCGTCCCCAGAGCACGCGTGTTTCGATCAGTGGTGACCGCACAACGCTCAAAAGCTCTTGACGAGATCTAAAACCGGAAAATCTTGGTTCCGATTTGATTGTGCGCATGCGTTCAACAGTTTCTGAACATACGTACAGGGAGAAACCGCTGGGACTGATGCTGGCTCACTTTCCCTTTCTTGGTGCTGACCAAAATTCAAAAGGATCGCGGCCGCTGGGAACGAGATTAGGCCTAAACGATATGTTTTGTTATTTCAGGGTTGCATTGTACATGATGCATACATGATAATACGATCCGAATTGAAAAAGAATAACCGTACCAGCGAAAACTACTGCCGAAGTCGTCCCATTTCCTTTTCTCGTAAATGCTCGAACTTTGATGCTGTAAATTGTAAAAGATGACAAATGTTGAAGCTCGACGTAAGTTGTTTTGGGTCCAACTGTCACGTTTTTCTCCTTTTCTTCCAGTTCTTTATTAGGATTCCTGATCGCTCGATAGGTGACAGTGTAACCCAACAAAATGCCATGCACGAAGTAAGGGTCTCGGATTGGTTTCCATGACACCGGGATCATGGTGGGAGTTGTTTTGTTGGTGGCGAACACATTTTCTGGAGGCCTTCCTGGAACTGAAAAAAATTACATGCAAAGGTATGTTACATGAAATGGGCCCTGTCATGGCTGATTTTTAACAAGGCACAGTCATGATTTACATGTAAATGTTAGATAGAAGGCCAAGAAGAAGTTATTTATATTTTGGTTATTCTAACATCAAAGATAAATTTTAAAATGGCTTGAAACTTTTTTTTGTTTGTTTGTTTCTGTGGAAAGATTTTGAGCCTCCCACTGAAAACCGCCATGCTTAATTGGGTTGGCTTGTTAAATACTATTTTTCATTATCATTTTTATTATTATAAAGATCGCCATAACGCGACATGTATTAATTCAACCTCAATGAGTTCGAAGTTGCAAAAACTTGAAATTAAAATGTCGATTGCTTTTACTTGGCAGTCACACTGACAACTAACAAACAGGACAGCAAGGACATTCCAGACTGCGCACCGCAGACTGTAGACTGTACGGGGACTTTTTGACTTATTTTGCATCCATTTCCATGACTGAGAGCTAACTGTAAACACGCTAACCTGAATGATATTCAGGCTAACCTGAGCGCTATTTTGGCCTAAATGTGATCTGCATTCTGCAAATGTCACGCACCGCAAACAGGATGCAATTCTTAACGTGCAACCAAATTGTCAAAAAGAACATTGTGAAAAAAAATGAGATTTCAAACTTTAAACTAAGGACGTTGTCCACCTTTACTTACTATCTTCATCCGTCTGTACCACAACTTCAGGGCTAATAGTTCCCCAGCCTACCCTGGTGAAACCCAACACCCTGATTCCATATTTGGTATACTTCCATAACCCAGTCAGCTCCAGGCTTGTGCGGTTAGGTCCTACCTCGTATTCACTGTACGTGCCTTCGGACTCATTCATGGTCCGGCGATAAAGGACCACAAACCCGAAAAGAACCCCGTGGACGTAGTCACTGGGAATTGTTTTCCAGTTTACTTTAATACTTGTGGAGCTCGTGTTGAAGACATTCGTTAATGTTGGCGGCTTGCTTGGTCCTAGGTTTGGTAGGGAGGAAAGTTCAGATTAAGTTTCAGGGCTCCTTGCCATCAGTTCTTTATTCTTGGTTTTTACATGACGTCATCGCCGCCATATTGGATGACATAAACATTGTTTGTATCATCCAACATGGCCGTCAGGCCTTTATCATTTAAATCTAGCGCTCTCAGGATTGGTTGCAAACCATCGATAATGGCGAGTGCATTAAGTTGGGAATTATATG